CGCAACTTGTCGACTAAATCAAGTAATTACAATTACAGTTTCTGTCTGTCGCTAATTCAATACAAAGGAAATTTGAAGACTGGCTATGATCAAAGGCCTCTGGCCACACTTGACGTCGACGCAACAAAAATGGCCGAGCGCCGAAATATTGCTAGCAAGATGGCTGACGATTTATATCCGCCGGATATTGAGAAAACTAAATGAGCACACTCTGCTGGACAATTTTCTGATTGTTTATCATTATCAGTTTATATTACTTTCACGTATTAAAGTTAAAAAAAAATTTATAGCTTACACATGATATTGAAATGGAATCTGTGAACACGTTATGTTACTTTTTCAATTTACTGTCTGTTGGTACCCATGTTCGAGATATTGACTACGTCCAAATTTCAGACTAAATTACAAAGCTAAATTCAGTCTTCACAATGAAATACTCCATAGTACAAAAAAAACTATAAAACTAGTATCTAGTTATTTTTTAAAATTGAAACGTTTTAATAAAATACAGCGAACGATATAAAATGTGAATAATATGACAAAATAAGTTTTTTTTTAAGTATTTTATTGTATAAGTTCCAGTATTTAATCAACGTTTAATCTAATCGTCTTTCTTGGTATCGGTCTTTCCTCCTCTGATTCTTCCTGTACGACGCGCAGCAATAAGACCGATCTTACGACCAGCGCTAGTTCCTCGTTTAACTGTAGATGCTTTACCAATGTGTTGATGGTTACCACCACCGTGAGGATGTTCAACAGGATTCATAGCAACACCACGAACCTGTACACAGAAATGTTTTAAATGCCTTACTATCGTTCTAGTACAACGGTCAATTTTATGGCTACTCTGATATGTATTGTCAACACTACACTATTTAGGTCTCAAATGTCCGGAAACATCATTAATATTTACTTCATATGAAAATACTTAATTGTATATATACTATTGCATAATATTTTACCTTAGGCCAGCAATTCCTCTTTGCCTTATATTTATGATAAGCACGACCAGCTTTAAGAATTGGTTTATCAATACGTCCACCACCAGCAACTATGCCAACCATTGCACGGTTATTGGATGGAATGACTTTTTTAGCACCAGATGGTAACTTTACTCTAGTTTTTTTTGTATCAGGATTGTGAGCTATAACTGTGGCATAATTTCCTGAAGCTCTGGCCAATCGACCCCTGTCACCAGTTTTTTCCTCCAAATTACAAACAATAGTACCTTCAGGCATTTGACCAACAGGCATTACATTTCCAATTTGAAGATTTGCTACAACATTCAACATTTTGTATTATTGATCTATGCAATCTATTAACCTGTATGAATAATAATTTGTTAATATTTTTCTTGACATTTAGAACTTAACATGCTTTAAATGATGTTTTAATTTAAAGTTCACTTACCTTTTTTTCCACAATAAAGGAATTGGCCGGTATACATCCCTTCAGGTGCAATAAATAATTCTTTACGAGTTTTAAATTTGTATGGGTCACGGAAGTGAACAAGAGCCAGTGGTGCTCCACGACCAGGATCGTGGATAATATCCTACAAAGTCAATATAATATTTTAACAAAAAAACCTAAATAGGTGCTATTTTATGAAGTATATGTTGAAATTTCAGAAAGAGCCTCTAGTTGTTACTCTTCAAATTTTTATTCAGAAGTAGGAATACTAGAAATCATCATGAACATAGTTTCTAAAAATCATACTGAAAACATCTTTATGAAAATAAACAAACCTTCACAACACCTTTGATGTATCCATGCCTTTCAGAAAAATCCAAAGAACGAAGTTTAGGTGCTCCCTTTCTCCTTTTTGTATGAGACCTAAACACAGACCCAGCACCTTTACGCTGAGCACGGATAACACGACCCATGGTTTAAAACCTGTACACAAAATTACATAAAACGTTAAATTACTTGATTTTAACAGTACTGAATGCAATACGAAATATGACACTATGTGTTGTTCTCTGCAATAACATAACCAAAAAATGTTATAAGTAACATATGACACACATTTCTTCTCAAAAACTAAAATATCTACGAAGATTTATAGAAAATGATTCAATATGCTTTAATAGTAATAAATTTATATTAGATGTATTTTATATTTTCAAATTTCAGAGGATTTTAAATACGAGATAATCGTAGCTCACGTACTCAGTAAACCGATATCAAATAGAGGAAGGTACAGGCGGAAGTCAATCCAACATGTAAAATTGAAATTGGCTGCACTGTTTGCCCGCTAAAATATTTGATTTAAAAAAATATACGAGATACGTATCTTAAAGAAATGTACTAGATATTAATTCCTTATAAATATGAAAATTAATAATTGTTAATTTCATTTTATTAAACTATTTATCTATTTTCTACTCTATATATAAATACATATATAATGTACAATAGAAACATTGATATTAGCCAGAGAAGCAGACATACGGATCATTATAACACGAACATTCAAAATGTATAGACGTGTTTGCTTACTTCTACTTATTATATTTTACATATCAACAACGGTTACATTGCATACTTTAAAAAGACAGAAGAGGATTGTTGGTGGTAAACCGGCTGCACCACCTCCTGTAAATGATCCTGTTGTCTATGTGACAAGTAGTAAAAGCCAAGCACGTATTTATGGTACTCGAGATCCGAATAAAGGATTTTATGTGTTTCGTGGTATTCGATTTGGTCTACCTCCAGTAGGTCAACGTCGATTTCAAGTAAGTTATTCTTTTTGAATCTAGCTTTTTATACACTTGATTTAAATAATTATACAAGAAATATATGAAGAAATCTATTTTATAAATGTTTCATCTATATAAATAGCTTATTTCTGAGATAATACTTTTTATTACATTTTCATATCATCAAAGTAAAACAAAACAGCTACAATATTATACATAGCAAAAAGTTATATAAATTATTCTATCTAGTAAAAATTAACATCGAAATTGTTGCACGATAAAATGATGTGTTACAGTTTGTATTAATTTATCAGTTCGTACATCCTGTAATAATGAGTACAATGTAGTAAGCTTGATAGTACTATCAGTAACCACTCGCCTAGTTTTTTTTTATTAACGATTTACCATTGTTAAATATAAAAAAATCATTATTCTTTCAGAGACCTATACCTCTGAATTTGGAGGGTGAAATTAATGCGACGAAATGGGGACCTCCTTGTCCTCAACCTAATGACGTTAACGGTAAAAGAATCGTGGGAAGTGAAGATTGTCTTTTCTTAAATGTTTTCACACCTATGCTCCCAGATTCCGGCGATGGGTATCCAGTACTAATTTGGATACACGGCGGTGGTTTTAGAAGGGGTTCTGCTTGCCAATATGAATTGAGAAATATAATTCAGAAAAAAATAGTGGTAGTGTCGATTCAATATAGATTAGGTTCACTTGGTAATTACAATTAGAATAAATGTCAGTTTATTAATACGTAGAAAAATATATTTTTATATATTGTATTATTGATGCAGGATTTTTAAGTAGCGGTACGAAGGATTTACCGGGTAACAATGGTATATTTGACATGATGTTAGCGGTGAAATGGGTGGAGGATTATATCGAATTTTTCGGTGGAAATCCGAAAAAAATTACACCGTTCGGCCATGGCACAGGAGCTAGTTCTGCCTTCATGCTTGCATTATCCAAAATGTCAAGAAGTAAATAAAATTGCAAACAATGTAATAGTTTCATAATGCTATTCAATAATTTAGAAGTTTATGTCATAAATTTTTAGACCCCTTCAGCGGGTTAATTGCAATGTCGGGTTCAATTTTATCTCACTTTGCGATTGACAAAAACCCCTCATCCAAAATGCAATATATTGCTTCGACGAATGGATGTCCATCAAACGATACCGTCCAAATGATCTACTGCCTTAAACAAATACCAGTTGATAAGTTGATAGAAACTGATTCCAGCTTACAAACTATGCGTTCTGTTCTCCATGGCTTCATATATAGTTTATCAACTTTATTAGGTCCTGGTCCTGTAATTGAGGGCAATGATGATGGAAGGTATCATATGTTAAAGGTATCTTAAAAATTTCATTGTAACATTGAAATTACAATTATAATTCTGTTTGTTCAAGATTTCTTCCCAATCTTAATACCAAGACACCGGAAGATTCTCTGCAATTTGAAGAATTTCCAACGATTCCTTTACTAACAGGAGTTATGAATAATGAAGTGGGAGGGGCAATTCTTGGAAATTATAAAACTGAGATTCAAAATGATTTGGAAACTTTTCCAAATTTTTTAAATGATTATCTTATACCAACTTTACAGAATACTATTTCGGACTTCGGAAATAAATCGCGGTTTACACCCGACGCTTTTAGAAAATATTTTAATGTTTTTAACACCGGAAATAATTCTGTTGATATTAGTAAAGTAGCAGAAGCTATGGGAGATTCTTTATTTAATGTGCCTGCTTTTCTGACTGTTGAACATTGGGCTAAAAAATCTGAAGCCTTTTTGTACAGTTTTGATCATAAAGGAAAACGAAATTATGGTAAAAATTTTCTAACCGGATTACCTATAGCGGATGCGAAACATGCTTTGGATGGTATGCGTTTAAACCATATGTTTCAAATGGTTTTAATAAATTGCATCGATGTTTTATTATTTTTTTTAGGTATAACAAGTCACGGTGATGATCTTGGATATATTTTTAAACAAAATACTATTACCGGAGAGGCATTACAAAATACTGAAGAATCAAATAAAGAAGATGAACTTGTAGAAGATATTTTTACGAATATGATAGCTCAATTTGCTAAAAATGGTAAACCTAATGTAACATTTCCATTTCAAGGTGGTAGTTTACTTCCAAATTTACTACCAAGGTTTTCTAGTGAAAGTAATCAATTTATTAGTATTACTGCCACCCCTTACATACTGAAACAATTTAGGTAATTAAATACAAATATGAATTAAGTCAATTATAGGAAATTGTGCTGTATTTTTATGAAAGATATTTTAGGTATTGTGAAATGGGGTTGTGGACTGGCCTTGCAAAACGATTACAATCACCCATGTGTAATTTTTTCAAAATTACCACGGATAATGTCGAGCACAATGCTAAAAAAATTGAAACTAATGTTAAAAATCGTATTAGTACATTTGAAAAAACAGTTACAGATTTTGTACCTAATTTTACTATTTTAAAGAACGAAACAAAAATGGGAGCTACTAATAATTCAGTTAAAAACACGAAACCTACAAGAACAGGTTCTATATTTTGGAATTAGCTTTAACAATTATGTCCATAATTTTAAAAAATTGAAATATGAAACAGTAATACATTCATTATGTATTTAAAATATACTAAATGACTAATTAGTTGTTATCTTTTGGAATATCCTGAAACAATTGTAATATCTCTTCCTCTTTCTTTTCCTTTTCTGATGATAAACATATCTGATTTTCTTCAGGTACTTTAGAAACAATTTCGAAATTATTATCAGCTACTTGTGTTGTGTCCATACTTTCAACCGGGGTACCTTCATTTACTTCTGACGTTGATATACTTTGATTTTGATATTGCGATGTTGATTCTGGTGTTTCTGATACGTTAATTGCAACTGATGCCGAACTACTTTCATTCGACGATTTATCACAAATTTCTGTAACTTGTTCACTTTCTACAATATTATTATTTTGTACTATAACATCTACTTGTTGTTTTAACGTGTTATCTTGTATTTTTAAAACGTCTTGGTTTGTCTGTTTAATACATGATTCATTTTCAGTGATGTTTTTTGTAGTAAGTTCATCAATTTTGTTGCAATTTGAATGTATAACTTTTAATCTTTTATTTGGTAACGGTTCCGTATTTTCATCTATAGCAGTTTCGACATTAACTGGAGAGACATCTTCAGTTGCTTCCATACGTTCTTGCACACTTTGACCATCAGCAACAAATTCTTTTTCTATTATCCTAAAAAATATTAATAATTTTAATTATTTGTTGTTAATTTAAATATATTTAAACAAATATATGCATTTTTAAAACTTACTCTACTTGAGTTATTTGGATGGGTGGAGCATGAGAATGTACTATTTTTTCAAGTTCTGCTAATGCCACTTTAGCCTCTTGAGCAATATATATGTTTTTGTCATTTAATGCTATTTCAAATATTTCTAAAGAATATTGCGTAGGTAAAGGTACTAAAGAATGTGGATTCAATTGCAAAGCTCTCAAAACTCTAAGTAATAGTAAACAACAGTCAGGATTTTCTTTATAAAATTTTTGTTCAGTAGAAGTAAAATAACAGTCGTACAACAGAGGTATTATAATATTTTGAATAGTCTGAAAAAAGACATTAACACTACATTTAATATCAAACTTTATAATAAAATGAAAAAATAGAAATCTTACCGTAAAGAATACTTGTTTTAAAAGAGTTCCACCACTAAAGTGTATATTCTGCAGCACGTTGAGAGCCACTTTACATACATCTACATCTAAATAATATTCTTTATTGGAAGCAATTCCATTATTCAAATACGTGCCTTTCTCATATTGGCTATCTCGAAGACGTTTCAATGCTCTTTTTGATAAATTATGAGTTTTTTGAATCTATAGTAACAACATTATGATATATGTTAAGTAATGCTTGCTAAATTTATCCTTTATTCGAAGTAAAATTAAATTTTGAATATACTTTAACTTACAGTTAACAAAACACGATCTTTTTCTGGTACTATGTCTTTCAAAATAGAAGGGAGAAATTCATCTGCAACTGTTTCTATACCTGACAGAGCATTAGTATTCACTAACCAAGAGTTAAGGCACTTATAAACAGATATCCTTACATTTTTAAAAGGTTTGTTTCCACTAATAGTTGTTTGATTTTCTAGAACATTTTCTGTCCATTGCAATGTTTGAAGAAATAGTTGCAATATTGTTGATCCAAATGGTATTAATTGGTCCTTAAATCTAAATATTTTAATCTCATATATTTTACTTTAAGAATAATTTAGCACTGCATTAAAATTATTATATTCTTACCCATTTATTAATGCATCTAAAACATTAAATAAAGCAATATGTAGCTTTGGTAAAATAAGATATAACATTTGTTCTTTGACAAAGTTTTGGTTCTTTAAATTTAAAGGTTGTATTGCTAGTCCTCTGCATATAACTTTTAAAATTTCATGAGGTAGCACTGAATTCTTTTTATCAATTCCACTGTAACATGTAAGTCATATAAATAAGGTATTTTGTAAATATATCATATATCATTTACACATTATCTTCTTACCACAACATATAAGATAAGTAAGAGCACAAATTACAAAATCTTCGTTCTTGTGTAAAATAAAATTGAATAACATTTTTTTCAGATATATTTGGCAATTCTAATTTATCCCAAATATCCACATTTTCTAATTCTACAAAACCAGAAAATAATTCATCCATTATAGCATGTATGCTGTTACAAATGAGTGCCTGGTTATATGTCCAGCTGATATAATTTAGTTTTGAAATTGGTGCTTTAAATGAACGCTCTGTTGCCTTTGCTAAAAGAACATAACACTTTGCACTTGCATCAACTAAATTTTCTTGAGGCGAATCAATTTGTAATAATATAATTTTTCTAATGAATATCTGAAATACCAAAATATTTGATAATAAATAAATTTTTCTATAAATTATTCTTAATCTTGATAAAGAAGGTGATTACCTGATAACGTTCACAAACTTCTGGATATTGATGTAATAATACAGCAGTTAAGTAATATATTGAACCACATATTTTTTCTACACTCATATTACTGATTATATTAATGAGCTGTTTCACATTTTGCATCGATACCTGCTTCTGTATGTCAGAAATATCTTTTGACCGTATAAGTAAATATCCAAGAACCTTACAAGAAATAGATAATTCTTGCAGAGTACTATGAATACTTTCTAATACTTGAGTAGCTTTTGACATCCATAGAACACAATATTTTAAAAGTACATCTTTAGAACATTGTGGTAAAATTTTATCCAGAATTAACAAACCATTATGTCGAGACTGTGATCGATTCAAATATTCATTAATAGTTGATATAATGATATTTTGTGCACAATCAACCTTAAAACAAAAACATACAGGTACATGATGCAGTATTTTAAAAAAATGATATGTTTGTGTTAGAACTGTAGTAAAAAGGTATGAGTACTTTGGAATACTCTACAATGTAAAATTAATTTGAAAAATATGACTTTACCTCTTCTAAATTAAATGGTATATCTCCATTGAAACATATTAAAGTTTGTAAAAATTCTTCATACTCTTTTGAATCATGATCAAAAGAATTAATTAATTGCACTAATGTTGCCATGTTACTTTTCTGACAGTGCACGTGTTTTCACTGATCTAATAGGTAAGGTTAGGTATTAAATATCATTATACACAGAACTAAAATACACGAGACAAATAAAAGATTTAATTTTAAAAAATAATACAACGAAACAAGAAAATGTATTAAAATTTAAAAAGTATATGCGTGTTACAGATATATGTACAAATATAGAGTGTACCACCTAATTCACCCACTTGAAATAATTTTTAAATTATGTATTGTTTAAAAAATTGTTGTAGACAATACTTACATAGTTTCTAGGGGGGTATTATACTCTACATGTATTTTTTTTTTTAGGTAGGAATACTTATTTAAAAGATTTAACTTTTCACGTCCTTAAAAAAAAATGTACCTTTTATCTCAACATTCAAAAAATGTCGCATTCTATACGTAAAATGTATTAACCTTCACAAGTCCTAAACTTACTCGATAATGAAATACTTTTTTTTCGTTTTTAAAATTTTGCATTGTATAACATGAAGTTACTAATCACGGATATATAATGAATGAAATCTCCTACTTAATGTTATGCAAAACAAATTTTTAATAATTGAAGGAAAATATCTCATTAACTACCTGTTAGGTTTAGGTTTAAAGCCAATATTTACTCAGAACTCGACGTTCTTTTGAAGTTCGAGATAAAAATATTACAATATTTAATTTAAAAATGTGAATCTACTAAATTTCCGAAGTATCCCTACTTAAAAAGAAATGCATATATGTACTGTGTAATGTCTGTCCCTCTTTAAACTGTGCAATTGCCATCTGTAATAACATTTCAAACAGCTCATAATTTAAAATTTATTCAGGATGTGCGAGTTATCCGACACACTTTGTATAATAAATTATGACGAAATGTTTTATAAATTTTGTTTTTTATAATTTTTCATAATTATAATATTGAATGGAAAACAATACGCTAATACATAATTAATTTAAAAACAAATTTAATACAAAATTTATTTGGTTATTATATGTAGGCTCATGTACTGAATATTACTGTATTTTCGTGTAATATAAAAACTGATTGAATTATTCAGTCATTTATTCTTATGAAATTTTACATTTCATAATATACACGTGAAACGTGAATATATATTCTCTTTTAAATTTATATTTATATTCTTGTAAATATACATAAACCGTGTGTCTAGAAAGAAACAGTTAGGGCATAGTGAACAGTAATTTCACGCGATTGGCCTCAATCGCAAAAGGAATTATTATGTAACTTTGCGGTGTACACGGTGGTGGTGGTACAAATATTTCTTCTTATCCTATGGATGCATATGATTACGCGAACTATCATTTCCTTTGGAATCGTTTAGGTGCATCACATTGGTAGCTTATTTCTGTAATATACACCTTAAATATAAAATAGTTTTTTCCACGTTTTTTACATTGAATTTCTTGAAGCCTATACTGGAATCGTTTGCGTCACTATTTGTAAAAGATATGAAACATTGTGGATAAAAATGAAATTTTTTATAAACCGTAACAGCCATTACGATAAGGTAACATTCACAGTCGAGCGACAGTTCCTAATCAAGTAACAACATCGGAGAAAGGGGACCGGAAATGGTTCCGTTTTTCGTGTACACGCTATTAATTAAAGATAAAAGAAAATATTGGTTTTGTTCACATGTTAGTTTCTAGCATTTAAAAGGTGTATTTTCGTTTATTTTTATAGATTTAACAAAATTTCATTTATATTTTCAGAATTTTTTATTTCGTGCATGAATAAATTCACGTTCAATTTGTCGCACATTTTCTGCTACTTTATACCCAGTGGCACACGTTTCAAGAACGTAAAAGTGCATGTAAAAGATTCACAATGTTGTTGCATCTATTAGATTTCACCCGCGTTTGTTTCCGATATGTTAAATTTCGCACGCGTGAAGATTCGTAAATACATTCTTTAAAAAATTTCTCGTATTAAGAACAATTGAAAATACATAGGATAATATCGTAGCTACATCTTTTTCTAAAATATAATTTCCTTTAAAAGAAAAATTTAATTTTTTGAGATCTTCCATCCTAAAGCTTTCCTGATGAGAATAAATCTATTATCAGCTTTGACTGTGATACATTAACCTAAAATACAAGCTATAAAAATTATTTTACCGCGATTATTTGTAGAGTGTTCTGTACAGATTTTTGTTAGGAAGAATCTTTTATAATTTTTGTGAATTGTGATCTATTCTACTATCATTATCGATCTTTTCAAATTAATGTAACGACACATTTCATCTGCGTTGTAATTGAAAAAAATTAGTTATGCAAGTGATACTATATTATTGTGTAGAGAAATACTACGTTTTTTATAATTTGTAGGCGAAATAGCGAAAACTCTCGAACTGGGGGGTTCCTGAGGTGACTCTGAACAACTTTTTCCTTTACCAAAATGTTGTTTGAAGCTTCATTTTTGAATTATTAACGAAAACCACTGGCCAATCAGAGCGCGCGTAGAGCCCGCGCTCAGGGACGAGCCAACAGAGATTCACCCGCGCGCTATCATGAACGACGCGACGCGTGACTTCTCGGTTACCGATCGCTGTCAAAAAAATTTGACTTTGCACCGCTATTTTTATAAGGCTTAGAGAAATGGGTTTTTGCCGTCATTCCGACATTTGTATAAATTTTTGAAAAAACTGCAATTAGTCGGAATCGTGAAAAAAATAGCGAAGGTCTGAAAATAGCCTCTGTTCTTCGCCCCTGAGCGCGGGCTCTACGCGCGCTGTAATTGGCCAGTGTTTTTCGTTAATAATTCAAAAACGAAGATTCAAACTGTATTTTGGAAAAGGAAAAAGCTGTTTAGAGTCACCCCAGCAATCCCCCATTTTCGGGTGTTCGAGGAGTTAAGGGACACCCTGTATAAACTTGCGTCACCATACTATTGTTCATACATGAAGTAGGACAATAATTTTGTCCGTCTGGAATATCTCCGTTATTTGTAAGGACATGAAAATTTTTTGTTTTAAATCCCTACGGTATCGAAGCAGTCGAGAAGATTTTAAAAATAACATTTATTTATACTTCTAGAAATTACAAAAAATACCTAGCAGAATATCTAGTCATTTTGTCATCCTGTACAAGGAATATTTCCAAAGTTCACCAAATTATGATTTAAATTCTTCATTCTGCTATTTTGCAGTTGTACATATTACATTGTAATTTTCAAATATAATCGTGATTTAAGAGCAAACACTTGTCTTGATGTAAAATTAGAGATTTTAAAGTTTCACCGAAATATTTTCAAGTACCCTTTATTGTGACTTACTTTATGTTGTTCTGAAAACTAGTAACGCGTAGAGTTTTTCTCAATTCTGGGATTAGATGAAAATATTTTCTGATAAGCGCTCACTCCTCAGGCTATTAATCGATTCTGAATTGGAGCCAGAATTTTGGAACTTTTTGCCATGTATTTAGACACTTATTTACTTATTTTGTTGAAATATTCCTTTTCAAATAATCTTATAAGTAACCTGCAAGGCTTGAGTTTAAATTTTATGGTAGCCATTAATGCCGAAAGATAATGCTCTTCTAAGGATTTTGACACAATATTTATTCTGTGTTTAAAAATGTTGTTAAGATAACAAGCATTATTTAAATCTCAGCAATGTATGTCAACATATTTTATCGCAAATCTCATATGCATCATGTCTGTACTTTATAGCATTTTTGAAACAAACGAGATCAAACTTCTTACAACTTTTCTATTCGCGTAAACAATCGAGAAAAATGTAAAGTGTTTGTAAACATTCACAAGAAGCATTCAGATAGAACGGTGCCTAAACATTAGTGTAGAAGGCAAAAGGAGGATAGAGGTACTTACGATTGCGTACAGAAAAAGAGATATAAATAAAAGAAAAATATTTCAATTGCATTCACGTGCATACAGAGAAGCCCGTGTACACATAGCCGCGGAACTGCATGTGAGTCTACTGAGTATCCTCCTCCCTGATCAGGACAGAGTGATTTTCCCCCTCCTGTCTGTTTCACCCTTCCTCCCTCTACGTTCTTTCTCGGGCCATCGAGACTCGCTCCTAGCACTCGGTTCTCCTCGGATCAGTTCCCCTACCTACCGGTGTCCAGTTATGTTGCGGAGAATGTTGCTCGGACGACAATTTGTTTGGACTTTTGTTTCGCGAAGTATCTCGTAGAATCGACAAACACGTTACAGATGGTGTCATTTTATTGATCGTGCGTGCAGTGATCGTGAAAAATATTCTCAACCGGTAAACCACGATTTTCCAATGTTTCCGTTGGGACCATTTACATTCCAGACCCACGCGTGATTCTCAGTACGCAGTATCTTGTGCTCAATGAACATAATCGCGGAAAACATCGAAACCTTTTTTTGAGAATTGACGTTGACAGCAACAACGACCGATCTCTAGCTGGAATTTTCAATGATTCGACCAGGAATGCGGTGCGAATTCTTAATGAACAAGGAAAATGAACATTAAAGAGGTACGTAAGTACAGTGAATTGCGGAATGGGATCTATGCATACAGCCATATTGAAAACGGTTACTTTCTGAGGGCAGTTGTTACGACAGTTAGGAAAGAAAATTTCGAAACACGATTCGTTTCCTGCCGTTAGTGGCTTCTTTGCTTCCTTTATGGTCCGTGAGAGAGCGAACCCACCTTCTGACAGGTGGAATGCGGGGACTCAACATAGTTGTGGGGCCCGACAACCGCGATCGCAGCGACACGAAGCGACTTATTCATTATATGCCTCTTGTCTTTCCTTTACCCGCGGACTCCTGTCTTTTGCTATTGCTTCGGTTTCATTTCCTTCAGTTTTATTGCTTTCATTTCGATTTTTATTGCTTTTCAGCGTAAACGTAATTCGGTAGAAAACATCACCGTAATGAAAATGTTGATTCGTAATAGGAAAAAGTATTCGTAAAAAATTAGTTGCTTTTATTCGTGATAAGAAGTAAAAGTCAAAAATAATCCGATATAGAGCAGGCTATA